AAATTGTGGTATATGTACACCATGGAATATTACGCAGCCTTAAAGAAAGATAGAGACTTACCGTTTTCATGTTTATGTGGATGGAGCTGGACCATATTCTTCTTAGCCAAGTATCTCAAGAATGGAAGAAAAAGTATTCTTCCAAAAGTACTCAGTGCTACTATGAAACCAGTTTATAGCTTTCATATGAAAGCTATAACCCAATTATAGCTCAAGAATATGGAGAAAGGGGAGAAGGAGGCAAGGGGAGGGGGGAGAATGGCTGGAGGATGGGTAATTGGTGGTACCACATCTATGTTGGATCTTACAAGGGTACATGTGAAATTTACTAAATGTAGAATATAAATGTCTTAATACAATAACTAAGAAAATGCCATGAAGTCTGTTAACCAGTTTGATGAAAATATTTCAAATTGTATATAAAACAAGCACATTGTACCCCATGATTCCATTAATGTACATAGCTATGGATTTAATTTTTTTAAAAAAAAGTACAATAGGACGGGCATTTCCAGCTAATAAAGATGCTATTCTTCTATTTAAAAAAAAAGTCTTAGATAACATACCAAATGTAAAGCATTTTAATACAGGTTGAGTATTCCTTATCCAAAATACTTGGGACCAGAGTATTTCAATTTCAATTTGTTCCAGACTTTGGAATAATTGCATGTACATAATGAGGTATCTTGGGAATGGGACCCAATTCAAGGCAAAAAACTCATTTCTGTTTTATATACCTTGTATGCACATACACTGAAGATAATTCTATATTTTTTTAATAATCTTGTGCATGAAACATAGTTTGTGAACACTGAACCACCAATGAGCAAAGGTGTCACTATCTCATGTCAACACTCAAAAAGTTTTGGATTTGGGGATATTGTGGTTTTGGATTTTCAGGGTAGGGAGGCTCAATCTCTATGTGCTGTGATTATTAGAAGAAAAGAGAATTTGGCCCAAATCTGCCTTTCAAATCATTCATTATGTCCTGTCCTCACTTGCTGCTTTTCTCCCACTGACCCCCATCCACTATCGATTTCTTTCTCACATTTGGAATTGCAGGATATGAAAAAACTAAAAAGTAACAGATTTTATACCAATTTTCCCTCCATTGAGCTGGGCCAGGTAACAATTCTGTCTGCTTCAAATCTCTTATCTCTAAAAGGAAAGTTGCTCCACATTCTTCAAAGTTATATTGTACAGATAAAATAAAAGAATATTTATAAAATTCTTAGCACAAATATCACTTACAAAATGAAGTAAGTACCACAATGTTCAGCAGAAGTTTGGCATTAGCTTATACACAATCTCTCCTGATTGTATGTCTTACCTCCTTGTACCAGTCTGAATAGCATACATACTTCCCATGACATTGTTAGTTACTGCAAAGGCAATATATATTACCAATGTTTTTATATTTCCATCACTAAAGAAAGAGCACTTAACACCCAACTGGAATCTTTTCTTGTTATTAACATATGATGGTATTATCAAATCTTATATTTTTAGCCCTTGGGAATTCATTCCCTTGTCTTTAATTATAAAAGTTTGTATTAACTTTTATCTCCTCTCATAGGACAAAATACAGAATTAGCTTACTTTTCTTGAAAATACTTCCTGCAGGGAAGATAATTATGCCTCCTTTCTTCCACATTACTGTGAACTGCCTAAAATGTCCTCCCTCTCACTTACATGATAATAAAAGGAATAAAACAGAGTGCTACCTGTGCAATTGGCACTGTGCTAAATAACTTTTTAAACTCATGTAACACAAACATTGTGTCACATACTCTTATTATCACTCTGATTATATTCTCATTTTTCCTTGAAGGATAAAACTAAGGAAAAAAGCTTAAGTAAATTGCCCAAAGTTTAGTGAATGGCAGGCAGGCCTTCAAAATGCGCATGTTATTCCTTTTCTATGTC